GTGTTCTCATCCTCTGACTCAGAATTTTGCAAGATAATTAAATCTTCAGCTTACTACCAAAAGAGTGTGTGGTACCCCCAAAGACTTAAGATATATAAGGAAGAAAATTATTGGTTTTATAAATATTGGACCAGATGTGGGTACTCATAGTTCACGTGATTGCCATAAATACATTAGAGACCCTGAGCAAGTGAGGTAATTTCTCTGTGCCTTACTTTTGTCATCAATAATGAAAAATAATAGTTAATATTCATTCATTCATTCAGCATTTTTATAATGAACCTATGTGTGGGTACTGTAGAAACAAAAGAGTCATCTGAAGCTTAAGGGACCAGTGATCTGTGGTCACCTTTAAGTGAGATGATGCCAACAAAATGGGGGTGGAGTGGGGGTACAGATTGCTGCTAATGACCTCCAACAGTGATGTCTCCTCTTCTTCTAAAGCACACAGCTAGACTACATTTCCCAGATTCCCTTGCTGCTAGATATGGGCACATGATTTCATCCTGGCCAATGGAATATGAATAGATGTGGTAAGTACCTTTTCCAAGCCTGGCCCACATCTTCATTTTCTTCCTCCATCAGCAGAACTGATGGAGAGGACTCTCAGAACCAAGAGGAAGGTACAGCCACTAGATGGAAGAAGCCTGGGTCCATGAAGACTGCATTGATTCTATCAATCTGAATTAAACTATAATAAATGCAAATAGATAAGTTGTTCCGTTAAGTCACCGAGAGTTGGAGGTCTATTTGTCACAGCAGCTAGCATGACTTTATTACAAATCTCTGGCCCACTGTGAGCACTAAATACATGATTGATAGGCTTGTCATTTAAAAATATATTCCTAGTTCCCTTGCCATAGGTCTTAGAGACTAAGTCCAAAGAGAGAGGGGACACAAACCCATACACATATACACAGAAAATCAGGAAGGAGGAAGGAAGGAATAAAGGAAGGAAAGGAGGGAGGGCAGGAGGAAGGAATCCAGCAAGCCATATTGAAGCTCTGTGTAAACTTTCTACTTTTGTGCGTTTGGTCATCCATAATTCCTAGGGAAATATTTTCACTATTATCCACATGCCTCCAGATACCAAGTTGCCTCCATAGCCAAATGAAATTGCTTCATGGATATGTGGTACCAAGGGCCTCCTTCCCATTCTGGGCTGCAGCTGTCCCTGGACCTGGCTGCCGTCCCCCAGCATCAGATCACCAAGGCACGTACTCTGGATGGGGCTCTTGTTGACAGGAACGGAGGAGAGCTTTGCCATGATTTACCGAAGCAGACGTTAAAACCGGGAGAAATGCTCACGTTCGTTATCAGGTCTTGTCACAGGCAGAGACCCCTGGGCACAGAGAGACAGATGAGTCCTCTGGGGGAGTGAGAGGAGGCAAGGCATGCTGGATATACACTTACAACTTGGTCCCTAGAGATCTTGCCATCTGGATAGTCCAGTAAATGGAATGTGCCTTGAGTGTACCTACTGGACAAAAATGTCAGCTCTTCTCCTTTGCAGCTTTTTAATTATAGACGTGATACATGTTTGTTGTAGCAAGTTAAATATTTTCAAGGGTATAAAGAAAAAGAGGTACGACAGAAAAAGTTAAGCTCCCTCTCTTCTTAAACTAGACCCTTGTCTTGTCAAATAATCAGTATTACCAGTTTGGTGCCTGCCCTTTCAAGCTTCTTGCGTCTTTAGATACACCAATACACACTACAGGGTTTATTTCTCCACCTTTAACTTTTTTTTTTTTTCTCAGCCTTGGGGATTGAACCCAGGGGTATTTTACCACTGAGCCACCTGTTTAGCACTTTCAATATATATATATATATATTTTTAGATGGAGGTATAGGGATTGAACTCAGAGGCACTTGATCACTGAGCCACATCCCCAGCCCTTTTTATTTTTTATTTTGAATGGGGTCTCATTAAATTGCTTAGGGTCTCACTAAGTTTCTGAGGCTGGCTTTGAAGTCATGATCCTCCTGTCTCAGCCTCCTAAGCTGCTGGGATTCCAGGCATTTGCCACTGTGTTGGCCTTTATTTAAAAACAAAACAAAACAAAACAAAACAAAACACAAATAGAATTATATAACATACGTTTCTATTCAAATTGCTTTACTTCACTTAACAACTTATTATGAATCTTTTCTGAGATGGACTTATTTAGTGCTCATTTATTTTCTTTAAGAGATGTATATAATATTTCTTGGAAGAAAGTTATTAAATGCTGGATTTTAAAGCATCAACTTTAAGGGTTAATAATGGCTGTCGATTTTTGTTGTGGATATTGTTTTTTTCAGAAGAATGTGAAATGGTAACTCGACCTATTTATTTAGAAACCATTCTGACTTAAATTGGGCCACTGAGTGAGTCTCAGAAGGTAGGGAATTCTTGAAACCTTAGCGTGACAATAACCCCAATATTATTCCGAGGGTGAATCTGCAGTTTGATTCTATGCAAGGAAGCTGGAGTCCGGCTGGGTCTTGGTCCAGGGAAACCTCCCCTCTAAGGAGTGCATTTGGCCCATGCTGACGTGTGACATCTCTCCTTGGTGACTCCGCATGCACAGTTGTTGCCACCTCTTAAAGCTGGCTCACCGAGGGAGGGAGTGGGGGAGCTGTGGGCATTAGCATGCGGGTCATGCACCCTCCCTTTGTTCTCTTGGCTGAGGTCGGATGGAATAAATCAATCAGCCTCCACATCCAAAGTCCTTCAGCGTGTCCTGGAGCCTTCTATCCATGTGTGCACTGCCCATCTTTTAATGACCTGTTAGAGTCAGCAGGAACAAATAGATCCAAGAGCCTCCTGGGGCAGCAAGCAGCTGCTCCTGGGAATCTATCCTCTGTGGGATTCTCTGTGTGTTCCCAGTTTAGATGGGAACAGCCAGCTCAGACTCTTCTGAGGTCTGAGAACACGCATTGCTAAGAGGAGATACTGCTGTTGATTGACCAGATCTGTGCTATGCACTGGACAAATAGCACTTCATCTGTCCTGTCCCCTAGGAGGTAGGTATTATCCATGCCCTACTGATGCAAAGCAAGACTCAGAAAAGTTGTGATTTGTCCAAGACCACACAGCGTTAGAATCAATGCAACATAAAAATGGGCATCCTCATTAAGCCACACTGCCTAGTTGTAACTGGAGGTGTTCTTGGTCCTCTGTAGTTCCCTGCAAGTGTCCTGGTCTCCCATGCCCAGTCATGCTCTCAGTGGATTCATCTTTCTCAGGCCTCTGAGTCTAAGAGATTCAGATCCTATTTGGGTTCTGCAAGACAAGGCTAAATAGCTCCACTATAACCCAAAGAGATACATGCTCAAATTTTCGGCCCAACACATCTCTAAAGTTGGTGAGTACAGTGCCTTTGAGGCTCACTCCTGATTTCTGACCAGCGTGACAAGGTTTTAGACATAAGCAAGCTCTAAAGATTATCCTATATTTTATGGAAGAGGAGATAGGACAGAAAATGGATATGCCTGGTTGGGAGGTGGGAGTTGGGGGTGGATGACAGGTGGTGAGGTGACAGCAGTGGCTAGAGGGTGAGATAGAGCAGGGTTTGCAAACCATAGCCCACTGGCTCATCAGGCCCTTTACCTGTTTTTGTAAATAAAGTTGTATTGGAGCACAGGCACACATATCCATTAAGGATCATCTCTGGCTATTTTTGTACTAGGACGTAAGCTTGCACCAGAGACCAGAGGGCCCTCAGTGTCTAACATATTTACTGCCTGACCCTCCATGAAAATGTTTTCAGACCCCAAGGAAAGAGAGTAACTTCCAAGTTCTTAAAGGGAACATAAAGTTTACAGGTGTTTTTTATGCTATTATGAATTAATGACTATGTTTAGGTGGGCCACTAATGGTCCTGTATCATGGAAAAGTGATTACTAGCTGGGCATGGTGGCACACGCCTGTAATCTCAGTAGTTTGGGAGGCTGAGACAGGAGGATCACGAGTTCAAAGCCAGCCTCAGCAATCGCAAGATCCTAAGCAACTCAGTGAGACCCTATCTCTAAATAAAATACAGAATAGGGCTGGGATGTGGCTCAGTGGTTGAGTTCAATCCTGGTACCCTCAACCCCCCAAATGGGCATCCATATTTAGCCACACAGCATGATTGTGGGAAGGGGCTTGGAGACAATAGTCCCCAAGGAATAGGCTATTAAAAATAGTCACTATCCAATCCTGTTCAGAGGGAGCCTCCTGCCTTTGTAGCACCAGGCAGGCTTCAGGGCCAGCCTCTATCAAGACCAGGAGCTGGGAAGTGCTGCAAAGCACTCTTGTGGGTACTGGTCAATACTCATGAGCACACTCTAGGCTGTGACATGTATTGCTTTAGGTAATTCTGATTACAATCTTGTGAAATAAAAACTACCAATATCCCCATGTTAGAGATGAGGTCCTGAGCCGACTAGCCAAATCCTGGCCCATCTGATTCCCAAATTCACATGCAAAGGCTCCACTTCACAGCTTTTGGGGCCAGAGATTCCAGTTCTTATGGCCTCCATGAAAGGCGTCCCCGAGCGAGTGCACTCAGAACATGTTGGGGTGTTGTAGGAGAGCTACCTTGAGCATCGAAAGCCCACCTCAACAAGTGGCAGGGGAGTTGCACATTCAGAGACAAGAGTTCCGGTCCCTGGTGGGAAAGTTCCCAGCAGCTTCAGTTAGAGAACGTCACAGTTCATTGATGTCGGACGCGCACAGGAGGCTTTATTGTTTCACATGTGAAAAATGAGGAAAGGGCCAGACCCTTGGCATCAGGGAAACGATGAAAGATTGAGATTTCCAAAGTCATGCTAACCCAAAGGTCAATTCAACCGGGGCTGGGGTGGGGGGCGGGGACGAGGGAGCCAGCCGGCAGCTGAGAAGTATTTGTGGCCTCGGAGGGGTGGGGGAAGAGGTTGCGATGTCCACGCAAGGAAACCATGGCTATGAATTTCAGGGCATCAAGATCCTGTCAACACAGCTAATCCCTACGGATGTTGGCTGAATAAGCCTCCGATGACCAAAGAAACGCACTGTGGAAACCATGTCAGCCTCCAGCAGGCCAATTTGTCCTCATATTACACACTCTGCTGGCTCTGTTGCTAGACCCCCAGATCGAGCGTCTCCCCCCACCGCCAACCCGAGGAGGTGGACACAGCATGGTTAATAAGTCAACAGAATTCAGAAGCCACGATCGGATTAAGGAGGCCGTTTTTATTTTGGTGCCCTGGACTCCAAGCAGATTAAATAATCAAAAAGGCCGAGCCATCGGGGTCATGTTTGAATGCTACAGCTGTTCACCGAGATTTGACAAACATTCTTTACGCGCGGCTCTCCGTCTGAATGGGAAAGGCAGGGATGATCTCGGGGAGGTCGACACTTTAAGAAAGAAGAAGGGGACACAATCAAAAGATCCTTTTATGGAAATCGATCCCAGCCAGATGGAGACAAGGGGGCAGGCTGCTTAAAGAAGTGGTCTTGTGAAAGCGACAACTGTTCTCAGCATCGAAGAAAAAAAAAGCCCAAGCAGGATTCAGAAGAAGTGAATGAAAACTCCAAGTCCTGCCATGCCCTTGGCTTGTGGATCTGCAAATTAATAAGGGTGGGCTGCGTGATCGGCAAGGACCCTGGCCCCGTGGAGGCGCAGCCATGAGAGGTGAGCCGTGATGGATGAGTCCTGTCGCTCCTTGGAGGAGTTTTCCAGTGGAGGGAGGGAGGGAGGGAGTGAGGGAGTGGATCCCCTCAGAAGGGTGTCCAGTGAAATGTATTTTCAAGTCGTCTTCCTTAAAAGATCTGGACATATGTAAAAAAAATATCTCCGAAGGGGAAGATTTATGTTTTCACCACGTTGGGTGCAGAGGAAGGGACTGGAGATAAAATTATGCGGCCATAATGTGAGTGTGCGCTGGGCAGGCCACGGGTCATTTCACAGAAAACATGGCGCGGGCAGTTGGAGTTCATATATTATTCCCTTTGGGGGAGAGGGTTGGAGCTAAAGGAAGAATGAACCAACTGGCTCCAATCTCAGAAAGAGAAGCCCTTCATTAATGGCTCAGCAGATTCCGTGGAAAACATATTCTCTTATTTAAGAATTGATTTCCTGCAGCTAAGTCATGTTTGAGCCCCACAGTTCAGGGGAGGGATGTGGGTTTGTTTCTCATGGGAAGATATTTTGGCTTGGAAAGGAGTCATTTCGTTTACCTGCAAAATTGGTGAAAGGAGAACAAGGATTTTTGTGCTTCTTTGTTTGGGAAAGAGGAAGAGGATGGTGACATCCCACCTCTCTTGAATTAAGTTAAACAGAGCAGCTTCTCTTTCAGAAGGCTCCGGGGGCCTCCTTCCTATGAGCCTTCAGCACTGTTAGCTCCAGAGAGAGAATTCAGAACAAGGGAGCAGGCTGCAGAGCCCGGGAAGGCCACATTGTATATTTCCTTAGTTAAGCCTTCAAAGAAACAAGCAACCTCCATCAGGAACTTTCAATAGGAGTAGATCACTCTTTTTAAGTTTCGAATATCATCATGTGGCCTTGTGAATTCCTCTACCAATTTGACAAAATGCCCTTGACAGATGTTTGCCATATTTTGAAATTTGAGTCTCAAAAAAAAAAAAAACAAAACAAAAAACCCAAGAAGTGTTAGAGCAACTTTGTAGAAGGATCTCAGTGAACCTAAGAAGAACATAAACTGGCATCCTCTCTCCCCTTCAAAGGACCCTCTCCCACATTCCCAGATAGCCAAGGAGTGCTGAGGCAAGGATGCTTTTTACAGCATTGTTTGTAATGAAGGGGGGGAAAAATATTGCAGCTGCTCAATTGCCCCTCAGTAAAGGAATGAGTAAATATTGAATTTGAAACGATCTCATCATGGAATATTCGATAGCAGTTAAAAGGAATGAATTATCTCTCTAGGTATCCAAGTAGCTAGATCAGCATGGAGGAAGACGACAGACTTCAGTATGAGTCAGACTGATGATTCCATTTATGTGAATATTTAGAAACCACAATGCAAATGAGTGTGTGTGCATGGAAAAGTATTTGACAGGCACTGGAGTGGAGCAGATAAGAACCCTCACACTTTGCAGGCAGATTGTCTGGGTTCAAATCATGGCTCCAATACTTACTATCTGTGTGATCCTGGGTAAGCGATTTGGTGTCTCTGTGCCTCAGTATCCTCACCTTTAAAATGATGGAATGAGTACCACCATACTTAACGATGTTACAGGGACGAATTGATGTATATAAAGCATATAGAATGATGGTTGGCCCCAGATATGTACTATATGTTTATTTGTCATTGTTAAATATTAATATTAAATATTAATTGATTATTAAATATTGTTTTTAACATACCTGGAGGGATATATCAGTAATGGTGGGGGAAGGATAAAGTAAGTATAAAAATCTTACTTTTTGGTGCAAGGGGTAGGGTGGGTACCAGGGATTGAACCCAGGGGTGCTTAACTACTGAGCCACATCCCCAATCCTATTTTATTTTATTTATAGACAAGATCTCACTGAGTTGCGTAAGGCCTCACTACATTGCTGAGGCTGGCTTTGAACTCATGATCCTCCTGTCTCAGCCTCCTGAGCCACTGGGATTACAGGCGTGTACCATCATGCCCGGCCTGATTATGATATTATTCTTAATGCTTCTCTGTATTTTGAAAATCTACTGAATACAAAAAGAGCAGAGATGATCATTCAGGATTACACCTGCCATGACGAATGTCAATCTGGAAGAATGCTTTAGACCTGCCCTACTCAATATAGTAACTACTAGCCACAGGGCACAATTTAAAAATTAATTAAAATGAAATAAAAATGATATTCAGTTCCTTGGATGCAGTGGCCTGTCACTCTTCTCCACGTCTGGCCCTACATGATGCAGCAGTATCCTACAAAAGGCATTTGTAACCAAGTGTCACCTTTCTATTTTTCCACCATTTGGGTACTGAAGCACTTGGAAAGTATCTTTCCCAAGGCTGCTGACAATAATTAGCAAGGTGTGAAATAGGATGTACTCAGTCTGTCCTGACCCTACTCAAAAGGGGAGTGACACAGCCTGTCATCTAGGTCGCCGGAGGTGTTATCTGGCTCAGAATCACATTACCTGTGAATCCAAAAAGGGACATACATGCAGATCTCTCTCCTAACACTAGCCCAGAGCCCACTTTCTTTCTGTTTGTCCTAGGTGAGCTGCTACTGCTTTTGAGTGCGATTTTCCCACCCCAGGGCGTGTGCGGCTGCCCAGAGAAGTGCATCTGTCACTCATCTTCAAACTCTGTAGACTGTAGTCACCGGGGTCTGGCTGAAATCCCTCCTGATCTGCCTCCTCAGACTCTAACGCTGCTCTTGCAAGATAACCAGCTACGCCAGCTTCCCGCTCACGCGTTTAGGTCAGTTCCTCGGCTCATGACCTTAAACTTGTCCAACAATTCTCTCTCACATCTGGCCCCTGAAGTTTTCCATGGACTTCGGCACTTGCACGTTTTAAACCTAACTCACAACTCCCTGCTTTCCCTGGAAAGCAGACTTTTCCATTCCCTCCCGCAGCTGAGGGAGCTCGATGTGTCATTCAACAACATCAGCCATCTTCCCACCTCGCTGGCGGAGCCTTGGGAGAACCTAACCTTGTTTGCAGTGCAACAGAACCAGCTCCACTATCTCAGCCGCAGGCTCCTAGAATCCATGCCCAGCCTGAGGCTGTTATTTCTCAAGGACAACCTCTGGAAATGCAATTGCCACTTGCTGGGCCTTAAACTCTGGCTGGAGAAATTTATCTATGCAGGTCAGTAACGTCTGTTTGGAAAGCCCCATCTGTGTGTCACCAGCCTGGGATGAACCTCATCTGTTCTCTGCATTAGCAGTTACATTGAGGAGGGTGCAAGGAGCAGTTTTAAGCTTTTTTTTTTTTTTTTACATTGTTGTCATTTCATGGTTTGGCAAAAAGATAGGTGAGTCATTAGACGGTATTTAAATTCAGGTTATTTATATTCATCTACAAATATAATGCACAGAGACAACTTTCTTCTTGTCTGATGAATATAACATGAAGTTACTTCTCTGGCAGGTATGCCCATAGGAAGGAGGGACTTCAATTGCCACCTGAGTGACTGCTTCACCCCAAAGTGGCACTAAACTCTTATTTTCAAGTATGATCCAATTGGGGACAAGGTTATCACTCTTTGGGATATTTTCTCCTCTTTGTTTGCTTCTATCCATTTGACAGGTGAAAATCTTCCCTAAAAGAATCTCTTTCTGCTTTAGCAAGTACTACTGTTATTGAACTTGGGTGCAATATGACCTCTTTCTAAAGTTATTCATTATTTCTTTAACCAGATATCAAAAAGCAAAGCAAGAGATCTCAGAATATTAAAGATGGGGGGGGGATATGGAAATGACCCAAGGGTTAGCAAACCACAGCTCTAAGTCCCTCTTCCCTTTGTGTAAATGCAGTTTTGTCAGCCAACATCCATGCCTATTCATCACGTACTGAGCAGCTGTTTTGCACTCTAAGGGCAAGTTTAAGTGGTCATGATTGACTGTTTGGTAAAGCTGATATTTATTATCTGGCTCTTAATAGAAGTTTGGCAAATCCCTGTTATCGATGGGAAACAGAGGCCCAGACAGGTTCCGTGATTTGCCCAAGATCACAGAGCAGAAGCAAAGAGGAAAACAGAAAGCCTGACTTTGGTTCTTGGCCCCACATTCTTCCCTGTACCCCATAGTGCGTCTCTGAACATCATTCATTGATTGCCACACTTGAATGCTTTTTATATCCCAGGCACTGTTCTGGGCTCTGAGAAAAGGACCGTGAACAAGAATATCTAGAGTATCTAGAGCAGTGTGAATGGATGTTAATTAAGACCACGGGTAATGATGCGTGCTCAGGCGGCAGTGCTATGACGACAATGAGGCAGGGGAAACAGAGGGAGTATGAGGGGAAGGGGCCCCATTTTAGACTGAACGGGCATGGAAGTCCTTTCCAAGGAGGTGACATGGGTGAGAAGAATCAGAACAAGGAGGAATGAGCCAGGAGATGACTAGGCGAAAGACATCAAGTTTGGTGACAAAAGAAGAACCAGAGAGTTGCTAGAACAGAGGCAGGATGTGACAGAGGGGACAGAGAAGAGGCAATGCATGTCCTCAGAGACCATGTCATGCAGGACTGTGCAGAGCAGACCTTGGGCCTGGGATTTTATTTTAGGTCAGATGGAAAGCCCTTGCATTTTATTCAGGGGAACAATATGATCTGATTACAACTTAAAAGGTTACTCTGGTGAGTCTTGGAAGAGCAAGCTAAAAGCTGCAGAAGAAGAGCCAGAGAGATATGAAAAAGAAGATGAATCCTGTTGGCCAGGGAGAGGATGATAGTGGCCCCAAACAGAGTGGTAAGAAGGCAAGGCTTTGGGAGACACCTGGAATATTAAACTGCTAGGAATGACTGATGAGGTTGAGTGACAGATGAAGAAAAGAGTCTAATGATGGGAAATTCTATTTCCTTTTGTCATGCAGGGGTAGCCAAAGAAATGGTGATGCCTTTAGCAAATTGGGAGTGGGGGAAGTGAGGAAGGGGGAGGCATAGAGTCAAGAGTTGGTTTGGGGGCATGTTGGAGACTCCCATTCCAAATCCAAGGGGAGCTCAAGATTTGAGCCCTTGCTCAAGAAAATACACATCCTACAGACATGAATTAGAGAATCAATAGCATCTGGATTGCACAGACGAAGGCAAGTTAGAAAACAGCTCGAGTTCAAATATACAATAACGAATTAAGAAGCGTCTCAACAGTAAAATAGCAAATCACATCTCACTCACCAGCCAACATTTCCAGTTAACTGACAACAGGAGCTATATAGCATGTGCCAACCTCCATCTGATAGGAGGCTTCAAATACAACTAATTACAGCTGGGGGTAAGGAGCTTGAGCTATTGTGTTCTGGATTAAATCGTAGGCATATACCAGACCATCACACAAAAGAGTTTTCATCAAAGAAGAATATTTCTTGATTAGAATATGTAGTTCCCAGGCCCGGGATGTTAGAAGCAATGTGGGATGGGATGAAGTTCTCCTTACTCAACCACAAAACTTGCTGGTGGTCTTTGGGAAAATTAATATGGTTCCCTAGTGCTCAGTGTCACCAGATGAAAAGTGATAGTATCAAGGCCCATGATGGTCCTCAGAAGCAGTGAGGCAGTTCACCCTCCCTCGTGACAGAGCACAGGAGCACAGATATCAGCCTTTCGTCAGAGGAAGGAAAAATCAATTGGGGGGCACCGGAAATCTGGTTGTCCCAAAATAACTAGAAAAAAATCCATATTGATACTAAATATGAAAGTCATATAATGAATGCATTGAATAAAGACAAAATAAAGGAATAGATATTAATCAATATCCTTATAAACCAAAGCAATTCCAGAGGTGTTAAATGATTTAACAGACATCCCTAGACTTCAGTCATTTAGGCAAGAAAATGTCTGTTGCTCACTCATTTTAGGGTTCAAGAGAACTGGGAACTTGGTCTGCCTTCCATGTATTGTTCAGGGATCTAAGCCTCTCTTAGGTTGTGATGTGGCCCCACTTCACCACACCATCTCCAACACCACCACCCAAAGGGGACGAAACCCACGTAAGACCATGCTGGAGATGTCATCTCCTGGAAAGGGCATTCATGGTTCCACTGGGTAGTTCTCAGTCACCTAGCCCCAAAATGACCCCAAAGAGTGCAAAAACTGAGTCTTCCTACGGCCTGAGGGAAAAAGAGGTATGTTGGTGAATACTTAACCATATCTCCTCCACAGAAACATGCACATAGATTTGATTCTACATTGACTATTCCTCTTTATTTACGAGTAAGCAAACCATCTTGATGCTCATCACTAACTTTATTAAACACTGACTCTAGACTAAGTATGGTGCTAAATACTTGACATGGTTTATCCAACTGAACCCACAGAGCAATCGTGGGAAGCGAATTGCATTATTCGTCCCGTCTCTCACTTTTCAGAAGCACAGGTGGAGGCACGGTATGGTCAAAGACCTTTTGGGGTTGTATAATAAGTCATGTGCAGATTTGAGATCTGAATCCATTTTTTTCCAAGACAGAGGTTGAGAGCCACTAGGGGTCAGGTGGGGGACGGTGTGCTCATGGCAAGCTGGAGCTTCTTGCATTGTCAACTTATATAATCTAGAAGCGGGTAAAGCTCCTCGTGCTACAGTCAGCAGAGTTGTCTCTGATGCCATGGCCTCCGAGATACGGGTGGCAGGGTGTGAGGAGATCCTGGCTGGGGATGTAGCTGCACAGGAGGCCATGTAGCTGTTGGGAGTCACGGCCCCTTCCACAGTCCCAGGCTCTAGTCTATGTATTCTCTTGCCTCTGTGTCCCAAGATGTGGATCCCATTCTAACACTGAACGTTGAGAAGACTGAAGATGGAGAAAACCAGTTATGGAATCATTAAATAAATCACCTTGGTCTGGGTATAGGTTAGCTGATGGAATTGCTCTTGGCAGGAGACCTTCGAACCCTGGTAGAAGTATCAGTGCTCTTTGGCCAGGTTAAATGTACTTAGTACTTCTCAGAGCCCCGCTCTTCATTTCTCTCTCTCTCTCTGGCCTTCTTCCTCGAAACAAACTCCCAGGGAGAGACTCTAATGGCCAGGTGCACAGAAATGCAATGATCTATATGGCAAGACTTCAATGACAGTGCAGCTGGATGACACCTTGGGCCGCTACCCCGTACCTCTGGCCTCCCGAGAACCAACAGCTTGGAAAAAGAAGAAATTCCTCTTTTACCTTTTTAGCTTTAGAGTCTCAACTCTTGCCTCAAGGGATCACAGAAGAAGCCAGGAGGGGCGGGGCTAGAGACATCCTGGCAGAAGGTGATTCAGGTTTAAGCAATGGCAGCAGAAAGGGCATAGGCTGAATTTTGCCATTGCCACTCACCCTGGTGTGCCTGGGCCACGTGACAACTCTTGCACCGTGGAGTGGTCCTATGTACTTACAGGGCCACTTAGGGCTTGCATTAAAAGGCTTAGGTAGGATGGATAGGAAAGCATTCCCAAACTCTGAAGGGCTGTGTGATGGCAGGTGCTAATAAGTTGAAGTAACGACCTCCATGTGTGTAGGTCTGCTATAATTTCACAATCCACCAACCATCTGTGCGAAGAATCTTCCATCTAATTTGGCTAAGAGAGTCCTCCCGGGAGAGGTGTTTATAGCAGGCTGGGAGAACTGAGTCACAGATCACAGGAGAGTTTTGCCCGGTCCAAGGGCTTTATGAGGATTCTCCTGCCCACTGCCCTGGCCTCACGATTCTCCAGAGAGGAGGAAGTAGAGCAGGACAGTGAGAGGGATGGGGGAAACTTGAGAATGATGGGCAAGGACTGAGTTTAGATGTTGATTTGTCTGCTCAGGACCAGCATGAGTTTGCTTAAGAATTTCCTCTCTTAGCAGAGCGTAAGGACCCCTCTGTGCTTTGTAAACTAACAAGTTGGATACAAATCTGATGCTTGTATGGCAGAGAATTTCGTCAAAAAAGTTCTTTTTCAGTAAATCAGTGACCAACCTCATCCAGAAGGAAGTGTGTGAACCCAGCGCTCTCTCTAGAGAACGCCCGAGCAATGGAAGCCCACAAATGTCAGAAGTCTACACACCCGAGGAAATCAACTGCCTCATGGGGAATGGAAAGTGCACTTAATAACCCTTTGGAAAATCCGGTACTCAAAGTAGTAAACTCTCTCGAGGCCTGAGGAGACAGGTTAATTATACTTAATCCCACGAACGAAACCAATTGGCAAATTCCGAGATACACAAAGCACCGCAAGGACCTTGCCACCACTGCCCTTGGCATCACTGAGGAGAGTTGGTAGACACCTGGCGTCTCAGTGATCAACACACAGCATCATAACAATGCACATTTGTTCTGTGGTTTTTTTTTTTTTTTAGGTTTACAATAGGAATCTGGCACAAAAGATTTCTTGTGTGGCAGGGCTCGGGGCCTCGTTAGGGCATTGGCCTCAGGAATGCCGAGGGCTATGGCACCCTTGGTGTCGCCCCAGGAGTCCCTTCTTGTCAGCCTTGGAATTGTCTTTCCCCATCAGCATTTATATGATGTAAAGGTGTCTTGGCTTCTGATGAATTCTGGGTCATATGTAATTGCCAATTTAGTGTGTGGCATTTTTAGCATTTAGCTAATTTAGAAATCCTACAATCATAAAGAATGGGAAAAAAAGTTTATAAAGATACTTTATAAATTCCATCTGCCTTCCTTTCTTTTTTTTTTTTTTAAGCTAAAGATTTTGGACCACAGTCGTATCTGGGTTCTGTTATCATTCTCTGCTTTTGTTTTTTAAAGGGGGAGTAATGGATGGTGTCATCTGCGGGTCACCTGATATGTGGAAGGGGAAGGATCTCCTTAGGATTCCTCATGAGCTGTACCAGCCCTGTCCTCTTCCTGTTCCACATCTGGAGCCCTCACAGGGTCAGCAGCATGGTGCTGCCCACAGGGAGGTCCCCAAGCCTCATGAGAACCGGATCTCTGGGGAGCGAGACCCTGTGGCATGTGAAGTTAAACCCAAGCCGAGGCCCACCAACCTGCGCCACGCCGTGGCCACCGTTGTCATCACGGGGGTTCTATGTGGAATCGTGTGTCTCATGATGTTGGCGGCTGCCATCTATGGCTGCACCTATGCAGCTATTACAGCCCAGGGCCATCGGGGCCCCTTGGCTCAAACCAGTGACTCTGGGAAGATGGGAGGAAAAGAGGTATTTGACCACTCACTGGCCTGAGAGCTTTCATCTCAAAGAGGATTGATGGCTGTAGACCAGGTGTCCGAGTGAGCCCATGTGTTCACTGTTACGGTCTGATTTTGCTTTTTCCAACAGAAACAGTAAGATGTGTTTGTAAAAAAAATATATATATATATATATTCCTGGGAAGAAATTTAGGTTGGAACTTTTTAAAATACCATAGATGAAATAGAGATGATGCTTGTACTCTGTGTCTGCAAAGTTATGATGGTGATTCTAGGCATTGGAAGACCATGCACTCAGAAAGGGAAGATACCATCTCTTTCAGGTGCCCTTCCCTGGATTAAGTTGCTTTTGCAGAGCAAAAAAAAAAAAAAAAAATTCCAACATGTGAGCCAGTCAGCATTCCTAGGAGCTTTAGGGTCCACTGGAGAACTGCCCAAGTCTGAGTGCTTGGGACGAGGCTGGTGATCCTACCCGAGGGGCACTGAATGCCTCTATAATTCAAGTTCATGCTAGATCGGTGGATACTTTTAGATGTTGTGTATGTTATACATTTAATGGGAGCGTCTGTTGGTTGGGAATTTCGTAGCTTGCCACAAGAGTCAGATTATATTTAATTTTCTAAATCAGAAAACCATTTGGGGCTTTGTAGGGCAATGCAGAGGAAGAGGAGGGTTCCACATCTGGGTAATGCGACTCAGGCCCAGAGTCTGGGGAAGTTTCTTTTCTTTCTTTCTTTTTTTTTGGATGCAAAGGTAAAGAACACATAAGCAAATTCAGGGCAGAGATTACCAGAAGGCCCTATCCACCAGGAGACTAGAAGCTTCCATTTATAACTCTCACAGCAGGAATGAATTTAGGTTAGTCGAAAAGCGAGGGTAATGACTTTTGTGTATCTGCATCTGCCTGCGTGGTGCACAGAGGGCACAGGCTTGCACAACCACACCCGTGCACAGACAGGACGAGAATGCATCTCTTCCCCCCACTAATGAAATGCAGCCCCGTCAGGGTGTGGGAGCCTGCAGCTCTTGATCACCACCCAGATTGTCTCTCAACACTCTGGGATAGGAAGTCAGAAGGAAGTCTTGAAGAGAGTGGGAATTTACAAGAGGCTCCAGATAAGTGGTGGCAGCCACCCTGAACATTGTTTAGGCCGTGGCTTCAAAAATAAAATAAAATAAAATCAGGTATAAGGCTGGCTTAGCCCACAGACGTGTTCCTGAAGAACTGCATGCAACGTGAGTTTTTGTAAATTGAATCATCATTTTAATGCAGTAGGGGACCTCGCTATTTAAAGGAACCTTTCATGGAATCTTTCTGTAATGGAAATAATTGGCTCCAGATTTATGCCTTTTGTATATTTGCATTTTCGCCATGCTAGGTTTTCTTAAAGTGAAATGTACCTGTTCTCTCTCAGCTCCTATTTAGAGTCACTTTTTAGGAGTCAGTTTATTTTACACAGGGAAAAGAGTGCAGAGGAGTTAGGGACATGTTAAAGGCAGAAAACGGCATATATATATATATATATGGCAAGCAGTCCCTGCAGAGGCCATGACAGACATTGATAATCAATCCCAGCACTCCTCCCAGCTGAGCCCCAATGCGCCACAGATGGTTTCTTAAGACAGCACTGTAGGCAACCAGAACTAATCAATTGGAATCGGTTCAAAGGATAAAGCACATTTGCCATTCAAAATACTGGCTCTACATTCACTCCTTAAGGCCATATAAAAATTAGTTTGGATCCTAAGTCCACAGTCCATTCCTTAGCTGGAATGTGATGGAAGGTTTGCATATGAGCAGGATGGACAGACAGATATAGTCCCAGTATTGCCCGACAGTGCCAAGAAGACAGGGAAACAGATGGATGAACCTACTGTATCATATGTGCAGGGGTCACGGGAATGAATCTGGAATCATCACAGAGGCAATCTACAACTGCCCCTGGTGTGCTCTACCTAATGTGAGCTCTGCTTACCCTCAAGCAAAAGATGGGCCATCTTTTGAAGCAGCGATTTTGCTGGTAGAAAACTTTTAAACTGGGATGGTAAGGGTTTTTATATTTTTTTCTTTATCTGAATATTAAGATAAACCTGGCGAGACCTTGTCCCAAAATAAAAAATAAAAAGGGCTGGGGATGTGGCTCAGTGGTTAAGTGCCCCTGGGTTCAATCTCAACGGCAGGGAAGACCTGCTGTCTGGGCTCTATCCCAGGTTGTGGCATCTCCTCTCCACTTTGCCATATGCCAGCCATTCCAGTGGGCAAGACTGAGCACCCTGCTCTAAGGATACAGCAACTTCTTCCCAGGTAAGGAAAAAGAGAAAAACAACAACAAAAACACTGTCTTTTCATTGTCCTGGACTGTGAATTCTTAGCCAATCTGAGAAAGGACGTTTAGAAGATTTTTTTTTATTCCCCATTCCAATTCTTACCAATGTTGTAAGAGCTAATGCTGCATATCAGGCATGGTGTAAAGTGGTTCTTGTCAACATTCCACATGGAATCCTGACACCCACCCTATGAGATACTCAAATAGATACCACACAAGCTGGAACTACTGAGGCCAATAATGTGTGCTTCTTCTAACTGTGGTGACTGAAGACTGGAAGCATACTGTGCCTTGCTCAAGGTTTGGTGACACTGCAAGCCAGCCCCTATCCCCTCCCTTACAGAGAACTTCTGCAGAAAACCCTAAACATAGTTAGCATCCTCACATGTCAACACCCCTATTCTATTCAATTTCTAAGTACAGATGATAACTCAGGCAAGCTGACTTCCGGCTTTACAGATAGTCTTTAAGGGGGAAAAAAAAAAAAAAGGATGTACATTCTGATTTCTATCTTTTGCCTACCATCACCACAAACAGCAGTTGGCAAGGAAAATAATTACTTACCCTGAAATGTCAACAGCTTCTCAGCACAGAAAAAAATATAAATCAAATTGTTTAGATTAACAAATGCAGAGTTATCATTTGTTAATATGAGAAATGAAATGTTTTAACTGTAAAAATCATTGCAGATGAAAGACCCAATTTGCAGGGTATTCTGCAAGAACCACAAATTATCTTTCACAACCACTGCAGCTCATGAGGGGTAATTTGCAAACGCCTCATAGATTATTTTCAGCTGTTTATTGCTGCTGTCCTATTCATAGATTCCACTATAAAAATGTCTGTCCATCATAGAGCCATGCTGAAGGTACATTGAGGACAAAACTCATAATTCTTGTTGGTTATTTCCGAGAAAGCCACATAAAATATAATTTTTCATCATATTTAGTAGAACAGCATGACTATAGACAGGTTATTTTTTGCTTTGCCAGAGATCAAAAATTCATAAACAGATATTATAGCTGTCGGCAGTGATGCATAGAGAGAAAGGGTGGAGGGGGAGGCAGGCTGCCAGAGAGACTCTGGAGCAAAAGATCTAACATCAAATCCGTATCTGAAAAGCTTTTATAATGAAGGCCACTTGCCCTGACCCTGCAGGAAGAATCTCGTGCTTCTGTTCATAAAATGCCAGTGGGTGACTGAAGGTCTTATTTTTCCTTACAAAAAAAAAAAAATGTCAGACCAAAAAATGATTCATACGTGGGTTTGTTCCTGAAGCTTGATGAAACCTCAAACCTCATTGCTTAAATCAACCAAGTACCCATGAAAAACAGACACCTTTGTTTTAGACCTTAAATATCCAAAGAAGTAGCTAAATCAATTTCCAAAATAATCTGTCTGCAGCACACATTCATATAATTATACAACAGCTGCTAGAAACCTATAACTTTCTATTGTAGGTCAGGAAATTACTGTTTCCAGTTTGGTAAAACCCATCCGTGTGTTCCCTGCTAAATGTTATTGACTGAAGTCTATCAGAAACTCATATTCCAAACCCACCTGGCATTGCTGGTCTGTTTTCCCTTTTGATGGAAATGCTTTTTTTTTTTTTTTTAATGTGCAAATTGCCATGAGGCTTCAAAGAAATCCTTGTCCCATTCAGAGAAGATGACCTATACATAACCTATCACCCTCTTTTTGCATCCTTGACTGGACTGGGCACACCTACTTTCACTCTAATGATATTGAATATACATTTAGATGGATAAGATGTCCAGCCCACAAAACTCAAATCAAGAAGACCCAAGGGGGTGGGGGGAAATCAAAGGATTTAGAAGCAAAGAAAAGCATTGAAGAACACTGAGTCCAGGCCTGGAAAATTTCAAAATAGCAGCCACCAGACTCTTTCTCTCTCTCTCCATTACAGGTATTGCTAATAGATCATGGCAAACTTATCTGCTGAGCCTCCATAAGGCCTCAGAATCCTTTAAAATCTGTTTTCCAGGTACCCACGACTGACCGATCAGCTAGGGTTGACATGAGAGATTAAACCTATTTGCTACCCTGATACAGTCCAGTGCCCTTATTTTACAGATAGGAAATAGAAGCAGGAAAAAGGAAAGGAACTTTTCAAAAGTCACACACATAAATTAACTGTATGCCTGATAAACTCAGTTGCAGAAGCATGGGGTTAGCATGAATGATACAACCTGCCTTAGCCAGCTTTTCTGCTGCTACAACAACAACAAAAAAATGCAATTAGAAAAATTGTAAAGGAGGAAAAGTTTATTTGAGGGCTCATGATCTCAGAGGTCTCAGTCCATAGACAGCTAGCTCCATTCCTCTGGGCTCGAGGTGAGGCAGGACATCATGGCAGAGAGTGTGGTGGAGGGGAGAGGCTCACATGGTGATCGGAAAGCAGAGAGAGACAGAGAGACTCCATTTTTTATATTAAAAAAATATATATATATCCCAAAGCCACGCCCCCAAAGATCCATCTCCTCCAGCCACACCCCACCTGCCTCCAGTTACCACTCAGTTAATCCCACTGGCATTTAATTCACTCATTGGGTTCAGGCTCTCATAACCCAATCATTTCTCCTCCATATCCTCCTGCATTGTCTCACACATGAGCTTCTGGGGGGACACCTCACATCCGAATCCTAACACAACCTGATGCCCACCATCCTTCATTCATTCTGTGGAGAACTGCAATGTCTAGACTATGACATTATTATGCTAATTATTAGGGTAATGACAATTACAGCATAACCTTCAACCTTTATCGAGCACCCAATTTTGTGCCAGGTGTTTTCTGCATGGTAATTGATTTCCTGTTGGTCTGATGTTGGCCAAGACTTGTGGGTATTTTACTGCCATGTCACAGGAGAAAGGACATGGTCAGAAAGCTCGGGTCCTTTACCTAAAGTCACACCACCAGTAAATGGTAGAGCAGGAATTTGGATTCCGGTCTTCCCAGGTCCCAAACCTGGACACTTTTCAGGATGTCCAAAGAACTCAGAGTGAGGATCCTTTCCTGGCACTGCCAACGCTGACTGCAAAACATGGCAGAGAAAAGGAATCTGGCCACCAACCAGTATGTCACCGCTGTTAACTCTGGTCCCACCATTAACAGCAGGACAGCTGAAGGAGTCAAGGCAAAATGGAAAACGAAGGCCTTTCACCACCTGTGACTTGGATGGACTGGAAGAGACATTCTTAGAAGGGAAGGGAAGAGACCCAAACTCTCTTGTGTTATTTGAGAAAAATGACAAAATTAGACTTTAGATGAAGATGCTAGCCAATAAGTAGGAGTTTTCATTGTCACACTCATTAATACACAGAAAAGGGAAAAACATAGAGCCCTAGAAATTAGGAAGACTGCTCATTGACATGCAAGTCTCCAGGAGGAATATCAAAGCAGAGCTATGACCTTGAGCCAGATGAGTGTCCTTCCTTATGTCGTTAGTCCACTGAGACACTGGGCTGAAAACTCAGAGGGAAACCATCCCCTTCTATACGTAGGGTATTTGAGAACAATTGTCTTTAATACCTCCCATTGAGACCTTGCTGGTTTCAACCATGAGAGATGAAGCCTCTCAGTAATGTAGCATTTAGTGTGAAAAAAAAAGAAGGAAAGATATTAAAATAAAAATAATCCAGAGGCTATAGTTTTAACCTACTATATTAATTCCGTGTTGCTTTTAATATAATGAAATGCCTTAGACAGGCAACTTTACAAAGAAAATAGTTTCACTAGACTCACAATTTTAGAGGCTGGAAGTCCAAATACCGTGGCACAGGCTTTAGTGAGGGCCTCCCCTCTGGCTGTACCACCTCACAGTGGATGGAAATGTTGGGAGGAGGTGTGTGAGCAAGACAGGAAGCCACGGAGCCTGGGTGGGGTTGGGGAGCAGGCTCAGGCTTTGGGAACAATCCTCTTGTGAAAATAACCAGGTCCCAGGTACCTTTCAACAGATGAATGAATAAAGAAAATGTGGTATATGTACACAATGGAATATTATTCAACCATAAAGAAGAATGAAATTGTGGTATTTGCTAGTAGATGGATAGAGTTGGAAACTATTATGCTAAGTGAAATAAACCAGTCTCCAAATAAATTATATTAGAATAAGTTATACTCTGTATATGGATGTCAAAATATACTCTCATATAAAAGAACAAATTAAAAAAAATATACTCTCATATGTAAAAAGAACAAATTTAAAAAAAACGGCTCCTATGAGAAGTGCCTTAATCTCTTCTGATGGCACGATTCGAGTGACCTAAAACCCTCCCAGGAGGGTTCCCTGTAAAAGGTCCCACCCACCTCCCAGCAGCACCACCCTGGGGACCAAGCTTCCCACACATGAACTCTGGGGACACACAATAGCCATTTCATAGCACCTGATGTTGCTTCCAAGAAATGAAAACGACAGACTATTTTGATTCATCTGAGTCATCCGACAACACAGCAACAGGAGGTAGCGACCCCAAACCCATCCTGTAGTAGTGCAGTGATAGAAGCCATCTGATCATTGGACACTTGATTAGTGGCTGTACCTATCAACGAACCCGCCACCTTAATCCCTCCAAGAGATCCTATAGAGGAAGCCATCTACCCTGCTCCTGGGCAAATCCCCTATATTTTAAGAACGATGCAACTGAAGAGAAAACTTGGCATCCCCTACAAGAGTGTTAAAAAAAAAAAAAAGAAGAAGAAGGCAGAGCTGCTCTCAACATGCAGAGGAAACATGAAAGTAAATTCACTGAACATGTCCTAAAACAATTTTTAAAGTTTCTGGTGGAATTTCACGTGCCATATGTTTGGTGTATGTATGTGTATATTTTAACATACATTTTACTGGCAAAAATCACGTCACATGGCCAAGTTCAGAGCCACCGAGGAGGCATACAGGTCTGGTAGGATGGCACTGTGGGTGGCATGGCCATGGGTGAGGACATGCCATCCCTTATAGGGACTAAAAGAGTGAATAATTGCAAATAATAAAAAGTAACGAGCTGGGCACAGTGGTGCACACCTGGAATCCAAGCGGCTCAGGAGGTTGAGACAGGAGGATGCGTAAAGACTCAGAGACCCCTATAAATTCCTTTTTAGGAAAACTCAAGACACATTCATTGACCGAGGAATGGCTTAAAATGCAGGAGAGAAGGCAAAGAGCAGAAGAATGTGGCAATGGCATAAAGATACCAGTGATCAGCCATAGAATCGGCTAAAGTCAGAGTTAGGTCTCAATGGTTTGGCTAACATGGTTACAAAACCATGCAGTTGGCCATTTAACAAATTTCTAAACACTTGCTGTAATATTTTCTAAATATCAAAGATAAAAGAGTGAAAAATGAAGCACACACCCCACGAAACGGAACATCTAGCCGAGGGAGAGGACAGAGGAATAAAAAGTATATCAGAGGGACTGGGGATGTGGCTCAAGCGGTAACATACTCGCCTGGCATTGTGGGGCACTGAGTTCTATCCTCAGCACCACATAAAAATAAAATAAAGATGTTGTGTCCACTGAAAACTAAAAAATACATATTAAAAAATTTCCTCTCTCTCTCTCTTAAAAAAAAAAGTATATGACATGGTACAAAAGCAGTAGTGAAAGAGAGTGCTGGGGATATGGTGGAGGAAGAATTCCTATTTTGTATTTGGTGATAGGAAAGGCTTCCCTGAGAAAACATTTGAACAGAGACCTGGAGGAAATGGTGGATCCAGTGGTGAAGATGCTGGCAGGAAAGTGACCCAAAGAAAAGACATAGCAGATGCAAAGGCCCTGAGGTGCCAGCAGGTGTGGTGTGTTTAAAGAACAACCAGGAAGCAATTGCTGTGGCTGAGTGGGCAAAGAGGGAAGTGGAAGGAGATGAGATCAGAGAGTGTCTAGGAGTCTTATCATCTGGGATCCTACAGGTTGTAAGAGGTAGCTTTTAAGATGACTTGCAATGATTCCCTTGTTTAATTGCCTCTGCTTGGTGGCAGAGTGGATCTGGTGAATTGCTTCTAACAAAATATAGCAAAACTGATAGAACATATTAATTCCAAGGTTAAGGTACAAAAAGCTGTGGCTTTTTATCTTGCCCACCCTGTCTTGCTCATTCCGATGGAAGTCAACTAGCACACTGTGAACTGCCCTGTGGA